TTTTCACTAAACCTTAGAAAATTTTACTAATTGTAGCACTATTTCTGTGCATTTGCACAATGTAATATCTTTTTTTCTATTCACTACATCCTGAGTGTATGATGCCTTGAACTTTTTCCATGTTTTGATGTATGGTTTCTGGTTTTCCATACATTTTCGTGACTACACAATATTGTCCACTCCATAGGTATAAATTTGAAGGACTTTTAAATACCATTCAAGGCAGGAAGCAATTTATTCAATAGATCAAGTTTGCATGGCACCCATGTTCTTGCCTAAATATTTTTACGCTTTTTCCATTGCTTATACACAGTATATTGTAATCAGTTAGAAATGGCTTCTCTTCTTATGGAACCAAAAGATTACCACTTAAGACAGTGGTACCTTTGTTTCTTAAAATTGCTTTGTAATACTTATACAATACATAGCAAAGTTTGGCTACTTACACTTCATCCACATTCTAGAGAAATTTGTAGGCTCTCTTTGATCCACTCCATGTATAATGGTTGCTTTTTAAAACTTCGTTGATGTGACTTTTCTCTTAGTCTGGCAACGAGTTATATGGAAAACTAAACTAGGGATTTGAAGAAATAAAGGCACAGGGCAGAGTTCATTAGTTGCTCTCCCCATTAATAAAGTTACACAGACAAAAGGAAGGTATGTCACTGTACATACATCATGCTTTGCAATAAATCAACTTTCTGTTAAATCGCACTGGTGCCATTTAACATCCTTTTGACAAAATGAATATACAGTCTTCCTAACCTATGGTTATACCTGATCGTGAAAGACGAGAGGCCTTGCCAACCTGAGCTAGAGCACTTGGGCTGTTAAGGATATCTGGATACTGGGATTCTCTTAAATTGATGAAGGTAAAGAGTCAGTAGGAGCAGATCTCAACTAGATAGCTCTGTGTTGACAATAGTGCTTACTAGTGAGTGTTAATATACCAGTTGCTAGATTTACCATATTAAATCCTTAGAACATTTCTCAGACAACTAGCTATGTCCACTTTAGAGATAAAAAATAGGCCCCTGGGCCGGCCAGATAGCTCAGCACACTAAAGTTGTACCAGCCAGAGTACACTGAGATGGCTACTGAGAGTGGGCTGGTGGCACATGCCTGTAATCCCAGTGCTTGAGAGGCTGAGAACAGGAGGATCACGAGTCTGATCTGTGTAGTGAGACCCTGTACTAAAATACATTTTTTTAGAAAGTCCCCTGGAGAAACTGCAAAAGGCTTACAGCAAAGTAGTAGACTCTGAAGTAAGACCCATCTTGTTCAAGGAGTTCCTTATCCCCATGATGGAGTAAATGCTCTTAACCCCCAAACACCAATTTTTTTTTTCTTTTTTTACCACTTGGAACTTTAAGCATTTCTATATACATGTAACCGGGATGATTTAGTTCTCCATCCCTGTGTGGATGGATTGAACCCAGGTATGGCTGAGATGCCTACCTCCTGCCCCTTTAAAAAAGTTTGAGACAGGGTCTCAGTTGCCCAGGATGGCCTTGAACTGGCAATCCTCTTGCCTCAGCCTCCAGAGTAGCTGGACTTACTAACCTGTATCGTGACTCCTGGCTTCTTTTTCCACTTTTAAATGGAAATAATTTTACAATGAAAAGTGCCCAACACTGATGGTTGACATATATATTCATGTGGCTTCCCCTAATTCTCACAATATAATCATAGTTGAAACCAGATAATTAACATGAATGTGTGTCCAGACATGATTCAGATATTGCCCATCACCCTCACATCTCTCTCCTAGCCCAGGGTAGAGTCCAAGACCCCAGTTTGCATTCACTTGCCACAACCCCTTGTTTGGTCGCACTTGACAATTTCTCAGCCTTTCACTTTGACCCAAAATAATTTTGAATAGTGCTGAGCAGTTACTCTATGCAGTGAGTCTCATTTGGATTTGTCTCTGGCTTTATTAGACTGAGATTCTGAGGTAGGTTTGTTTTAATTTAATTGGTACACTTGATACACGTAATACCATAGGGAATTTGTTCCTGTGTATATCTTGATTTTTTATTTTTCTCCCATTTCCTCCCTTCAGTCCTCCTTCCCCTCTTCATTAAAAGCTTTATTTCCCTTTTTTTCTTCTCCCCTTCCTTTCTCCTTCCCCTCTCCCTCATTCCCTTCCCATTTGAACATGTTCTTCCTGCTTCCCAGTACACATTTTGGTCTTTACCACTTGGCTTCTCACACGAGAATGCAGTATTTAAATGTGTGTCCAGTTTATTTCACTTTCACGTATGGTCTCAAGATGCATTTACTTTAAAATATCTTATCCCATTTTTTTAAACTCATCTATTGTTGGGGGGGGGGGTCTGGGCTGTTTCCAAGATTTAGCTATTACAAATTGTGCTCCTACAAATATTCTTATGTATGTGTACCACTGTGGTATGATGCCTTTAACTCTTTTGGGAAGATAAGGGGAATAGCTGAGTCAAATGGAACCTCTAGTTTTGGGTTTTTTGAGGAATCTTCATACTGTTGTCCATATTGGTTGTACCAACTTAACACTTCCACCAGCAGTGGAGAAGGGTTTCTTTTTCCCCACAGCCTTGCCAGTATTTGTTACTGGTAGATTTCTTGATGGTAGCCATTCTTTCTGGAGCAAAATGGAATCTTAATTTTTTTTTTTTTTTTTGCTTTTATTTTTATTTTTTTTGATAACAATAAAATTCTTCATAGGAAAATTTGCATGGGTTTAGGTACACAATTTCTGTACAAGTATAGGCAGACATCATCAGATTTGTACTATCACATACATATGTTATATTTATGTAGTATTTCAAAGCTTGTAGACCAAAAATGTTATTATTTTTTTCAATAATACACTGCATACATTCTTCCCAGTGGTTAATTGCTGTACAAGATGCAGACCTGTGATCCTACTTACAAACACCATTAGAACAAATCATTCTATTCATTAAGAGAATGCAACTATATATCTATCCCAACCACTTTGAATACACAGATACAAAATGGACATTCATAGTTATATCCAAATTTTTTTAAGTTCTGTTGTTGAATATTATAGGTGTGTAAACTCAGCAAAATATTCCAAAAGAGTCCAGTAGCCCATAATAGCAAAAAAGGTCTTTTTTTTTTTTTTGGCGGTCTTTTTTTTTTTATTTATTTTTGGTGGAACTGGGGATTGAACTCAGATCCTTGCGTTTGCCAGTCAAGCGTTTATCCTACTGAGCCATCTCCCCGGCCCCTTAATGTTGTTTTAATGTGTATTTTTCGAATGACTGATGTTGAACATTTTTTCATTTATTTGTTGTCTGTAGTTCATCTGAGAAGTGTCTATTTCAGATGTCTATTTTGGGATTGAGTCCTTAAATTTGGGGCTCTGATTTTTTCTTCTTTCAGATCTTTTTATATTCTAGATAGTAGTCCTTTGAAGAACAGCTGGTAAAAATTGTTTGCCACTCTGTGGGTGTCTCTTCATTCTGTTGGTGGTTTCTTGTGCTGTGCAAAAGCTTAATATTGAGATCCCAGTGGTTGATTCTTTTAATATTCCTTGTGTGATCAGGGTTTTATTCATGAAGTCTTGCTTACACCTATGTCTTTAAGAGTTTACCTATTCTGTTTCCCAGCAGATAAGGTTTTAATATTTAGGTCTTTGGTGTGGTACACGTCAGTTTTACTTTAGTTTATGGTGAGAGATACAGAACTCCAAGTTATCAGAAGGCTAGAAACTTTCTGCCCATTTAGTAGTATCAGTTTCTGCTGAGCTATGTTTAGCATAGCACATATTTAAAAAATCAATACTTTAATACGTGAAATTTTCTCTTGGGTATTCGTATAGATAACAGTTATACTCTCAAGTGCCTTGCCAGGCACTTGGGTTTGACTTGTTTTGATTTTGGTCTTTCTCCAAGTACTCTGCTTTAGAGAGAAAACAAAAATGAATATACCTTGTATTCTATTTATAATTAATTGTAAGAAAAAAAGTCCTGTCAAACTACAAGTTGAAAATACCCAGGCGGGGGATATAGCTCAGTGGCACGGCACTCACTTGGCAAGCACAAGGTCCTCAGTTCAGTTCAATTCCTGCTACCAGATGGAAAGAGGGGGAGGGGGATCCAGTTTACTCCAGTCCAAATTTTTACTAAAATAATACTAGAAAGTCCAGTAGTCAAATTAATTGGTAATTCTGTTGAAAAGAGTCAAGGAAAATCTGACAAACTTGATCCCAGTGCCTAGGACAAAATAAAGTTTAGGGTGTCACTTCCTTCCTTAAATGAACATGGGAGCAACCTTTCTTCCCTCCCAGGATTAAATGAGAATACCCATAAGACACTAAGCAGTAGTTAGGATAAACTCAGTACCTTTGGTCAACAGATACTTAACCTTGACAAACGCTGTTTTCTATGACAATTCAGCATTTGGGAAGAATTATCCAACCATTAACAAGAAGACCACGTAGCAGGCCTCTCAGATACAGAAACATCAAATTCCTCCAGCTCACTGTTAACTCTTATTATATGTCAGGACACTGTCCAGCAGGAGCTTCCCACTGCTCCTGTCTTGGTGATCAAAGCAGTTCCTAAAAAATCTTACCCAGACTCTGATTTACTGATGTAGCACCATCTCTGTTTCTTTGGTTGAGTCCAGTTCAGTCATCTTTGACCTTTATTGAAAGCTCTTCCTCCAGCCCCAGTCTAGGATTTACTTTGGTCTCCTACACCTTGATTTGTAGCTCTGCCACTTTACCTCCCCCTTCCACTCAGTGCGTGGAAACTTGACGTCCTGTCTAGCCAGACCAGCTGGACTGCAGCTGCAGTTTGCTCTTGAGCACCGCCACAGGCACCGCCGAAGCATTCATCACCTGCACTGTGCTAGATTTTGAACAGGGCCAATGTAAACTTCCTTTATTTAAATATAAAAGTCTGTTTCAAAATTAACTGAGCTACAAATCACATTTTCTCATATGTCAGCTCGTGGCCGCACACGGTACAAGTCTTGCGGTACATGTCATCTTCTAAGCTCTCTTCTGGGCCATACTCGTGCTCATGAGCAGTCATTTCTCTTTTCCACACACTGCTTCTTACCGCTCGTCGCAGTTCTAAGGAAAAAAAAGATTTTCAGTGGAATCCAAAAAGAAATCCCCTCAGGCTTTCAGTTGTATTTGTGTATTTACATAATACATGGTTTAATTTCATAATAAAAGTTGATCACAAATTAGATAAGCTTTTCTACCTCACCTGCTCAGCCTCTAAAATAGTCATTGTAGGAGAGATTCAGAGATGAGTATGTGGATTAGAAGGAGCATAAGACAAAAGAGGGTGACACATCTGACAAGGGGAATCAGCTGAGACAAGGAAAGGCAGTATCTGTAGTTTCCACACTTGTAAGTCCACAGTTACTTCTATTAAGAGGCAAATCAAAGTTTGCTAAAGGCAAACTAGAAGACCAAGAACTTCACGCTGATGTGTTTTCATTCTTAAGAACTGTTTGTACAACTGACCTATTAAGTTCTTTGTTTTATAAAGTAAGACCATTATTTCAGAAAAGGAGCTATTGATAATTATTACAAATATAATAATATAATTATATTATTAAAACTCAAGAATAAAAATCAGAATATTAGCAATAGCAAAGAAATGGAGAGTTAACTTCACTGTTTTGCAGGCAGAGAAACTGAGCAAAGATGGTATGTGGACCCAGCTTTTCTCACTCTGATGATTACAGCTTTTTGTGCTACGTCATTTTGAAGTCATCCTACAAAAATATTTGTTGGATGCTTTGAAAAGCAGCTTAAGGCAGCAACATTTTAAAAGTGCACAGTACATATTAGCTGAGGAAATTTAACCACTTAGTTCCCACTGAAAATGAGTTGGTATTTCTCAGTTTCTAGTGAAAAAGCAACATTAACATTTTTACGTGTTAAATGTTACGTGTAATTTTTAACGAGAAATACACCAAATTGGCTTTTTGACAGCAACAGTACCTAACAACATTAATAGCTTTCATAATCTAAACCATAAAGTCAACATGTACCAAGTAATGGCACACTTTCCTTAATCCATTCTAGACTTATGGTAGTATCAAAATACTATTGGGAAGCTAGGGAGATAGCTCAGTGGTACAGGCACCTGCCTGGCAAGCACAAGGTCCTTAGTTCGATTCCTATTACCAAATAAAAAGACTAAAGTACTACTTCGAGCTGGGCATGTGCTCCCCATTTGAAGTCCAGCACTCTGGGAAGCTAAGGCAGTAGTATAATACATTCAGGCCCTCTGTTGGTGACTTAGCAATAACTTTTCTGAAAACAAAAACACAAAAAGGGCTGTGAATGTAACTCAGTGTGAAGGTCCTGGGTTTAATCTTCAGTGCCATCAACACAACAAAATACCAGGGCCAAATAGCTCTGCAGATTAAAGTGCCTGCAAGCACGTGCAGGGGCCAGGGTTTGATCCCCAGGCCTGCTGTGCCGGCCCCACCCTTGGGGTGCACTGAGATAGCAATTGAGACTGGGCATGGTGGCGCATGCCTTTAATCCCAGCTGTTGGGAGGCTGTAGACAGGCGGATCACTATGGGTCTGTTCTAGTAGTGAGACCCTGAACACCCTGTAGATCCTTCCCTAAAAATGAAACTAAGATACTACTTGGACTTTCATACCTTCTGGCTGAACATATGATGAGGATAAAAGAAAACATGTATGTACCAGGCATTATTTGTAAACACTTTAAATGTATGTAATCTTCAACCCTGAGATAAGTACAACTATTACTTGGCTTAACCAATAAGAAAACCAAGGTAAGGAAGCTATGGGTTGTCCAAGGTCAGTAGCTTGCACTGGTAGAGGTAGCATGGCCTGGGTCCACATTCTTTACTAAGCTGTACTGCCTTTCTCACCAGTGCAGTGTAAAAAACACTTCTGTTTTATTGTCAAGCTTCAATGTATATAATTCTACAGTTTCCAGCCAGGGAAAAATCAAGTTCCTCCAGATTCTCATGTGTTTAGAATCTCTAATCATTGCTTCTCTAAACTTCACAATTTTTCCCTCATTGGAAAGAACCCCAGTTTTTCCAAATGTATCTTAAATGTCCTTTTCTTTATTTTTCCTTAAGACATAAGTAATAAGTGATGCTGACCAGAACTGCACAGATGCCTCCTGGTTTGAGATAATGTAGGAAGACACTTCCTGTGAGGTCTAATAGCTGCTTTTTACTTTGTTCTGATATAAGGCATTGTGGGAATTTCCCTCATAATATCTCCATTGAGAAAGCACCTCAGAACTTAACTGCAGCCTAATCATATTAACATCTCTGCCAAGTTGATTAGGTGGACTTAGGTGGAGAGGTAAGAGAAAAATTTGCTTAACACTAAAAGAATACAATAAAAATTTAGCTTTATAGCTGTTTCTTGTATCAGACAAGGAAATTATAGATAAAAATAGAATGAATCTTGAAATTGTAGACTGGAACTTGATATACTAGTTTGAGCTCAGATTTTAATTTGTAATATATACTGTATGTACACACAGAGAAAAGGAGACAGTGATAGTATTTCATGTAAGCAAGCAAAAGCCAGCGCTCAAAAAATTACATCAAGGGCTAGTTCAAAGAGTTGGGTTTTTTTTTTTTCCTGTATTTTAGGGAAGCATCTAAAAGGTGTGCAGGGTCTCACTACTAGATTGGACTCAGTGATTCTCCAGTTTGCAGCCTCCCAAGTGCTGGGATTACAGGCATATGCCCAGTCTCAATTGCCATCTCAGCACACCCCAGGGGCAGGACCAGCATGGCAGCCTGGGGATCGAACCCCTGGCCCCTGCATTTGCTTGCAGATGCTTTAATAAAGAGATTTCCACAGCAAAATATAAGATAATTTGAGCACCAAAATAAGAACAGAAACTAACCAAATGCCATTGCAAGAATGAGAAAGTAATGAACCTATACTAATAATAAACAGATGGGGGGAAAGAGGCTGTAGAATGCTTGTATCCAACTGGGTAAATATGAGGGGAGTGCTGGAGTTAGAAAACCCATCTTGTAACCATCAAACTAGACTGATCCACCCAGAACCATCCATGGAAGGATCTAGTCTAGTGGGAAGTATTGAAAAGAAACAGGATGTTCACTATTTTTGTGTATCCAATTAAAAAAACCAGAATCACTACCACTAAGAGCAAGACACACTGTGCCTCCAGATGGGAGGGACCGATACGTATCACACACTGTCCCTGTCCTGAGATGCATGTACACCTAGGAGTCAACCAGCAAGAAATGGCAGAAAGCCCCAAGTGAAAAATGCTGTTTCTAAAGAGGGCAGGGGAAGGAATGGGATTTCTTCAAAAATGTCAGTGTCACAAAAGACTAGAATTATGAAGACTGTGAACAGAATTTACAGAGACATGGTACCCAAAGCCCAGTATCTGATCCTAGACTGGCTCAATTTCTAAAAGGAAAGCACTAAAATGGACATTACTAGGTTAGCAAAACTAAAATGTGGACAACTGATTAGACAAAAACACTATTAAATTTGCTAGCTAAAGTAAGTGGTTAAGGGCTACACCTATGGGGAAATACGTACTGTAACATCTACAGCCATGTTAGGAAAGGGGTGGAGGGTGGTGATATAATTTACATTTGAGTGATTTAGATGGAGACATACAGAGAAAGCATGCAAAAATGGTGCAGACAGCAGAGTGCTAGTCACAGACCTACAGGGTAAGGGATATATAGGTGGTCCTCTGTTCTTAAGTGTCCTAGCAACTTTCTGTAAATTTGAAGGTTGTTTTTGTTTTGTTTTTTGGCAGAACCAAGGATTAAACTTAGGCCCTTGCACTTGCCAGGGAAGCGCTTATTCTACTGAGCCATCTACTGGCCCTTGAAGTTTTTCCAAATAAAGCTTAAGAAAAAGAACCTAGCCTGATGGAGATTCCACTGACCAAACAGACAGTTTTTGAGTATCAAGTAATAAGAGGAATTATTTGCAATACTTTAAATCTGCTAGATCAAGTGGTTATTTTAAAAAACAATTTTTAAAAATGCCTGAGGAAAACTCTTCTCTGCAAAAGAAATCAAATAATAATTGTACAGGAATAACAGCACCTGCCTGGCAGGCATGAGTTCATGTTTGATTCCCAGTACCAAAAGAAAAAAAAGACAAAACTAGAAAAATTACCATTTATACCCACCCACCCTAATAAACTGGCACAGGTAAGATTCATCCACCCTTCAGTGAGAGCTGACGGCAGGCCTCCACATGTGGTGCACCCCTTAGGAGATACTCCTACAGGGACATTCCACTGTGAGTAAATGCACCATCACAAATCTGCAGGCTCAGTGCACAACAGCTGGCCTGGACACCACCAGTGCCTGTGTGTGAAGAATTAAAAAGACTCTAGAGTAGAAGACAGCTGCTACACTAAAAAAGCTATGAGGGACAGTGACACAATTGAGGAATGTTAAATATAGATGACATAAATTCCTGTGATACTATTTTAGCTATGAAAAAGAATGCCATTGCTTAGAAACATGCTGAAGAATTTATAAAGAATCATAATATCTACAGATAACTCAAATAAGGGTTAGCCAAACAGCTCTGGATTCAAGCACCTGCAAGCAGGCGCAGGGGCCAGGGGTTCAATCCCTGGGCCTGCTGTGCTGGCCCCACCCCTGGGGCACGCTGAGACAGCAATTGATATTGGGTGTGGTGATGCACACCTGTAATCACAGCTCTTGGGAGGCTGTAAACAGGTGGATCACTACAAGTCTGATCTAGTAGTAAGACCCTGAACAGCCTATAGACCCTTCCCTAAAATACAGAAAAACCCAAATAAATGGATCAGCAAAAATAAGACAGTAAACATGGCAAAATGTTAACACTTGATAAAGTATACATTTAAAAAGTAAACAGTATGGTTTTTGCACTCACTTAACAATTTAGGGATGGAGAAATCAACTCTGCTGCTGAGACTGAGAAAGACTCAAAGGTGAGATGGCGCAAGCGTGGGAAAAGGCCTGAGGCAGCCTTGGGAGCTAAGGGACAGGGCAAGTGTACATCCTCCAGGGAGGCTGGAGACTAACCTGGCTCACTGGGCATAGCTTCCTGGTCCCCTTAGCCCAAGATGTCACAACACAAAAGCAGATACCTACAGACTACCTCTACTGCAAATGCACGAAAGCTTTCATGGTCCAGTTAGTACTGACATCCTCAGGGACTGTTTGTACTTTACCCAGAGAACTCTCTCTCTAAAACCTTAATATGAAATTGGACTTCAGTATCAGTTTTGCTAATGACCATATGCAAAGAAACCAAATGTTGTTTATAATATAAACTTATAAAAGAACTAGCTGAGGAAGACCAGATACTTCTAAACTGGATGGGAGTGTAAAAAAGTACTAACTTGAAGGTGCCCCTTGTTACCTGAAAGTCCTAATAACACACAAAGCTTGGGTCTTCCTTTGTCCTCCCAAACTAAAGCAGGGTAACAAAGTTTCCCTCAGACTCCTCAGAGAAGCCCCAAAACAAACAGCGCCACTGGCCCAGAATGTACAATGTCCACAAACTAAGAAGGAATCTCAAAATGGGATTTTTCTCACCCATCTCCCAACGAGGGGTGCATAATAACATTGGAAGTTACTTCTCTATCATTACTAACAGCAAGCTTAATTTAACTTGGAAAAAAAGCATCTCTGCCTTATTTGTGAAAAGGAAATGTGCAAACAAAACACATTCTATGCATTTGTGCCAACACAAAGTTCTCAACAAATATGAAGGCCAAAATATATTGCTTTTTTTTCTAACTGAGGTAAACTGAGCAGTAGGGATCCTACTGTTTCTGTGTCTGCCTTCTTGGATACAAGCCACAAATTCTGTGTACTTATATATACCTTATACTATTTACATACTATTTAAATTGCCTTTTATAGTAAGCTCAAGTCTTGAACTGCTACAATAGATCATATTCTAAAATCAGATAAATGTAATCTCTTACCTTCCCATAAAGAAGTAAACTTTGTCAGCTTCTTTGTGGATCAAAATCAGAAGACCAAGAGGAACCAGGTTCCAATTTCTTTTCAACTAATAACCTTTAGACTTGCTTCTATTCCTCTCTGTTCTGAGCCTTCTGAGCAAACTGCACAGTCAGCTCTTTGTGTCTAATCTCTAGTGTCTACTCCACTCTCAGCCCTCTGTGGCCTAGTCAGGAGGACGGGAGCATCCACCAACCTCTAAAGTGAAGCAACAAGAAGAAGCCATAAGTAAAGAAGGCATCATCACACTGACCTCTCTACACACTGCACACCAGAAGACAGTGAGTCACAATTGTAAACCCAGGGAGGCCAAATCCAGTCATAATAACCAAAAAAGAAAAGAAAACCCCAAGAAACTGAAAACCATTTGGTTTTTTGTTTTTGTGGAGACTTGGAAAATAAACCACTCATGTACCCACTCCCAGCAGATTTCCCCAAACGGCATGCTTCATTTAAATGAGAAATGAACTAAAATTCAGAAATTAATCCTACAAGGTCTAACTTCATTTAAAACTTCAGGATGAAATCTGAACTGAAGGATAATGAAAAGTTGATAATGGTTAACAGCTACTTAATAAGGCGAAAAAGTTATGTTCAAGTTTCTTTCTTTAAAAATTCCCACAATAACTATATAAATCTTTTTTAAAAGTTCTATTCACATTAATATTTAAGACACTGAATCTACGGGAAAAAAAAAAAAAGCATGAGATAAAATAGATTCCAAAACCTTTTATTAGACAAATTATAAGAACTGTGTTGGGGCTGGGGAGATGGCTCAGTAGAATAAGCACTTGCCTGGGAAGCACAAGGGCCTGAGTTGAATCCCCGGTTCCACCAAAAAAAAATGAAAAAAGAACTGAGTTACCTCTAGGTGACATCTTGACTAGGTCACAGAATTAGTGTAACAAAAAACTACACATAACCCTTTAAAAAAAGATTTCATTACTTTGTACATTAATCAATACTTATGCTTTTATCCATGTTATTACCTACATCAAAATACCATATGAAGAGAAGCTTAAGAGGACAAAAGAAGGAAGAGCTGAGATGGCTTCAAGTAGCTGGTAACAGAAAGCCTGGCCTAAGGAGCATGTCCTCTTTCACAACCCTTTCGTCTTTTTACTACTTTCTTTACCTTTACCAGCAGCAAGCCTTGCTGTTGGAAGATAAGAAAGGCTGGCTGTAGCACCCTACAAAGATTAAAGAAAAGGCCTGTTTTCAAGATATCTTTCCAGGGAGATAGCTCAATAGAATAAATAATTGCTTGCCTGGCAAGCGCAAGGGCCTGAGTTCAATCCCCGGTTACACAAAAAAAAAAAAAACTTTCCAAATCCTTTCATTTAGTTCCTGGTGGATTTCTATGAATACTGTGACACAGCAATGGCTAATTTGGGGAATATTTTTTTAAGTCAAATGCTCTTTTTATGTCACAGTTTGGCTCCAGGAAACCTCTGCAGAAAGCCATAAAAATGTACTTACTTTCTAATTCAGTTGATAAATAACTGATTTATATAATAACTAGAAAGATGTTTCACATAAGATTATCTGTCTTGATGAACTTCAGAAATGATCAACAATGCTACCATTTTTATAAAAAGGATGATAGCATTTCAAAATATGACAATAACAAGTATAACTATGAAAGATGACTATATAATTTTGTGTGTGTGTATATATGTGTGTATTCTTGCTTCCTGACCAAATTTGCTGATTTGTTTTATAAATACAATTTTTAATGGCATCCACTGATGGCAATTTCAGTGGGATATCAAAGCTTTTTCTGTCTCATATCTTATAAAGATCTTGTAAAGAGGAAAAATTTTTTGCCAGGCAACATAGCATACGCTTATAATCCCAGCACTTAGAAGGCTGAGGCAGAAGGGTCACTAGTTTGAGGCCAACCTAGGCTCCATAGTGAGCCAAATATAGTGAGATCCTGTCTCAAAAAAAAAATTATGACTCTTTGGGCTTCAGTTTCAGAGGAAGACAAGTCCTTTGCACTCCTGCTCTCATCATTACCAATTACCCATCATGCTCCAGTAGGATCTGAGTTTCTCTCAACAAACGGTGACTCCAGCATTTCTATTAGCACAGTGCCTGGCACAGGACAGTAATGGATGGATGCAAAAGCATGGTTATGGGTGAATGCATGGCCAAGTGAGTGCAGAGATAAACAGGGAACAGAGAATTGCATGGAAAGACAGATGTGTAGACAGAAGACTTTCAGTCAAGAAAACCTGGTTCCAGTCCCAACTCATATTAAGAGGCCAGCCCACCTTTCTGGGTCTTTCAGTCACATATCAGTAAGTGATCAGACTAGCTGACATCTGAAAGCTCCTCTAACTGCTAAACTAGGTAAGACTTAGCGTGGTGTTTTTGTTGTTGTTACTGTGGTTTTTCATTTTGATCAACTAGAGAGTTTTACAGTATCTGTTTAAAAAAAAAAAAAAAAAAAACACTACTAATCCTATTTAAGATCTAACCTATAGCAAATCCTTGACTAAGGAACCATGACTGACCTTAACCTGACACTATTCCTATATGCAAATATCACTTACATGTTCTTTTTGAAACAGTTTCACCATGTAGTTCAGGCTGGTCTTAAACTCACTCTGTGCCCAGGCTGCCCTCAAACTCAGAATTCGCTGTGCTCTCTTGCCTCAGCCTTCCAAGTGCTGGGATTACAGCATGTGCCACCACGCCCGACTAACATACTCTTTAAAATGCACTGTTGGGGCTGGTGAGATGGCTCAGTGGTCTAAAGCACCTACTTAGAACAAGCTAAGATAAGCAAAAGCACAGCGACCGCGGTTCAATCCCCATCACCACATGCCAGCCAGCCCCGCCGCCTGGTGGGCTGAGCTGGCCACACACACACACACACACACACACACACACAATCAAACAATCAATCAATCAATAAATGATTTTTTTAAAAAATAATAAAATAAAATAAAATGCACTGTTGTGAGACTTGCACGGTGAGCCTGAACCCCAACCTGCTGAGGGCAAGTGTGAGTCATCTTATTTCCACCCCATGGAAAATACCACCTTTCAACCGACTGGTGATATTACATCTTTAATGAGAAAGAATCTAGCTAAAGGGTTTTTGCTAAGTGGGAAAACACAACCTTTCATGACATAAAATGTAGCCACTTACCCTTTACTTTTTTATTGAATTTCTTCTGTTTCATTTTTTCTCGGTTTTCTTGTCTCACTTCTTTTGCTTCTTCTAGTGCTTCCTGACTACCCCAAACTTCAAGAGACCGCTTCACAATCTGTAACACAGTCCACACTTAAGATACAAGGACTCAAGAGTTGCAAAATATTGTAATTATCAAACTCATAGAAGAATGACTTAATTCCAGTATAAATTTATACTAATCTGATATTTAAAAGATTTAAAATATTAATAAGAAATGAATCTCATAACACATCTATCTCAGCCTAGCAACCTTCAGTAATGTATGCTGGATTACAGTATATAGTATACAGAGAAAAAATGTCCTCTGACCTTATCACTGTCACAGTACAGAAGGATCTAGAGAAACAAATGGGGTCACTAAGCTTGACGAATTCTCAGGCCTACCAGAGCGGTCTGTTCACAGATTAGGCACATAAGACCTAAATGCAAGGCCATCTCCAAAAATCTCCAACTAAGGAAACCACCAGTTGCTACTTCTCATTTCTTTTTTCTCTTCTTTTTCTTTTTAATTCTATTTGGTTGGTACAGGGTCTTACCACACAGCTCGGACTCATAGCGATCCTCCTGTTTTCAGCCTCCCCAGCGCTGGGCTTACTGGTGTGCCACCACACCTGGACCCTGTGGCTGCCCTGGGGGAGGGGCCAGCGCGGCGTGAGGTACCAGGGGTGGAACCCTGGTCCCTGGCTTGCACCAACTTGCCGAAGCAGGCGCGTTTTAGTCGGCCTAGCTATCCTGCCGGCCCCACTACTTCTCATTTCCTCCTGGATCAACAACTGCTTCCATCCACTTGACTAAATTCTACTCTACAGAATATGAATTTTTTTTAAAACCGTGGTATCTAAGTGACCTAAAAAGTCTTCATTCTAGTTTCAAAAGGTTGAATTACATACCTTTACTCTAAGAAAATAGTTACACAGTAAGAATACTTCAGGATATGTTAAGGGAACCAAAGTATCAATCAGGATAACCAAAACTATTTTCTTAAAGTGATATACCTCTATTTCATATATTCTAAGACATCACATTTTCCACAACTTAGCACCCCTGGAAAAGCTGCAATACCCAGTGTTTAGGGTACGTTAACAATGGTGAATCAAAACATAGTTTAGAAGCACTGGACTAAATACAAAAAGTTTAAAAATAAGTCTTTTTGCCTTGCATTTTCCTTTTTTTTTTTTTTTAATTTTATGTATTTAGTACAGGGTCTCACTACACAGATCAGACTCACAGTGATTCTCCTGTTTTCAGCCTCCCAAGTGCTGGGATTACAGGGGCATATCACCATGCCGTCTCAGTGTCTCAGGGTCAGCATGGCATGCCGAGGATCGAACCTTGGTCTGGTCACTGTGCCTGCCTAAGCAGGCGCTTTAATCCACCGAGCTATCTGGCTGGCCCTGCATTTTCCTTCTTATATATCCATGAACATGACACAGTATATGACAAACCTATAGTGAAATCTAATGGTACTATTTTAATAAATGTAAAAAACACTAAATGACAAGAAAACCTGAGCTGGTTTCATGAACAGTTACTTTTATAGTCATTTTTAATGGTACAGAAAATAAATGGTGAATCTTTCTTTTTTTCCCCTTCAGTCCTGAGGCTTAAACCCAGGGAACTGAGCAATATCCTCAACCCCTTGATTTTTTTTTTATTTTGAGACAGAGTCTTGCTACATTCCCCAAGATGGCCTCAAAAGGGCAATTCTGGGCCCAGATTAGCCCCAGGATTAGTTGAGATAGCTCAACAGTATAAGTACCTGCCTGGCAAGCACAAGATCCTCAGTCCAATACCCAGTACCAAAAAGAAAGAAAAAAATAGCTGGGTGTGGTGGCACATGACTGTAGTACCAGCACTTGGGAGACTGAGGCAGGAGGATCCTTGCAGGTTCGAGACCAGCCTGGGCTACAAAGTGAGCTCAAAGCCAGCAAGACTTGCATAGCAAGACCCTGTCTCAAAAAGACGAAAGAAAAAAAGGTAATTCTCATCCTCAGCCTTACAAGTACCAAGAATCACAGGTATGTGTCACCATGCCTGGCAAAAGGTGAACCTTCTTATTGGTAGTTTCATATTTAATGAAATTTTGTGCATACAGTACTTTGTTTCACAATGTAGCTTAATTTTATTATAAGATGGGGGGGTTATTTTTAGCATATTCAAATTCAAACCGTATTCTAAAGAATAGCTTCCAGGGCCAGGGAGCTAGCTCAGTGGAATAAGTGCTTGTCTGACAAGCACAAGGTCCTGAGTTTGATCCCTGATGCCACCAAAAACAGAGAGAGAGAGAGAGAGTAGCTCCCAATATTTGAATGTACTTGCACTGAAAATTGCAATATTCGGACTGCTTTGGAGCAGATACGACTAGCTGTGGCTCTAGGCGACATGCCAGGGCACTAAGAGGCCTGGCCACTAAGTGCTACTACCTTGGCACATCTGTGGCTTATTTGTGGCAAGAAGAGTTGTGAAGCTCTGGAAGTCACTGGAGTGCACAAATGCTTAATAGCATTCCAAATGGTATTTTCCAAATAGACTAATTTTAGGCATTTGTGAAATATATATATATATATATATATATATATATATATATATATATATAATTTATTTATTTTTGTATTTCAAGGAAGGGTCTACAGGGTGTTCAGGGTCTCATTACTAGATAGGACTCGTGGTGCTCCACCTGTTTATAGCCTCCCAAGAGCTGGGATTACAGGCACGCCACCATGCCCAGTCTCAACTGCAGTCTCAGCGTGCCCCGGGGACGGGGCTGGCAGAGCAGGCCCGGAGATTGAAACCCTAGCTCCTGAGCCTGCAAGCAGGCACTTTAATCCGCTGAGCTACTTGGCTGGCCTGAAAGTAAAGTATCTTTAAAGAGTTTTTGTTTTGTTTTTTTGGGGGGGTGCATTGTTTATTGATTGATTGGTTGGAAGGGGATAGGAAAAAAGGTAAATAACATCTGACTCCTAAGCTTTCTTAGTTTCAGAATTGTACTCCTAATGCCACCAGCCAAGAACATACTTCTCTCAAAGTGCCACAGCAAAAACCAAAATAAGAAAACACTGTGTTATGAAATGTCATTCCATGACTATGACACATGTGCAAAACAAAAGAATCCTTTTCACTCTGTGTAATAAACTATGAACCTAAGTGTAACTAACTTAAGATTAAAAATTCACCTAGGCCTGAGTCTAAATTTCATGAATACAACTTATTAGAGACCTGCAGCTTTAAGTAGAGTTTCATATCTCCCCACTGTGAATGATGAGGGTTCTTCTTCACAATGAACTTAAGAGCTGGTTCTCTTTTTTCTAAATCACAATCTTTTAGAAGGTATTCTTGCTTTGCTTCTGTTTTGGTAATAAGCTTATGTTTCTCATCGGGATCTCTGTAAAGAGAGTAAGTCCATTATATTAGTTATTTTAAACAAACTAAGGTTTCAAACAGCCCAGCAAGCATTGGGCATAAAACTCTCAAAGCGACACAAAACACTTTTTCCTGGCTATAACTCTCAGGTTCAAATTAGTAGCCTAGAAACTTTAAAGAAATATACTTGATCTTTTGCTTACTCTAAGAAGTTAAATTACTAACAGAGCCATGCATTAACACTTTAAGAATTTCTCATAAGTCTTTTGTATTTCAAAAGGAATTTGAAATGATTTCATAGAGAAAATATAAATAGAGCACTGACTCAATAAGAAAGAAAGTGTAAACTGAAGCAGAAGAGCAGGGTGGGCAAGAAATGAGGAGCATGGACTGACTGGCTCCAGCCTCCTCGATATGGCTGCCTCTGAATGCATCAACAGCTAGGCAATGACGGAGATAGAGTCCACAGCTCTTCTCACCCGCTTGCTATCCATCCGCATGTCCGGTTCTGTTCAAGGCACTCAGAAAACAGCCTTGTTTTTAATGAGGGATAAATCAAGCCTTATTCTCATGAGGCTTTCATCCTAATTAGAGGACAACAGTCAATAAATATCACGATAGGTCAAATTTCTTCAAGAATACAGAGCCCAGAGAAGTTAGAGAAAGTTTCATATGCAAGGGTAATCAGAGACCACTGAGGAGGGTCAGCCTGGCAGAGGCCTTAAGTCTGAACAGCAAAGAAAACCCTCTCCAAAGGAACCTTCGCAGAGGCCAGAGGGGAGGAGCCTCCTTTGCACCTAGAGCTCACAAAGAGCTGGTATAACCAGATACTCAAGGCAAAGGATGGCGAACAGTGGGATGAAAGCGCTGCCATACCGGGCCTTGCAGTGAAGATATCCTATGCTCAAGAGAATCAGAAACCATTCACAGAAGTAATCTGCATCAAGCTGGCAGCTGCAGTAACTACAGTTTCAACTTCAACTCCACGATGTTTCCCTTAGCCAAAAACGCATTAGGTCGTTTTCCGGTGCAAAGCATTCAACAAATGGTTGCAAGGCAGAGCCACCAGAAACGTACACCTGACTTCCATGACAAATACGGTAATGCTGTATTAGTTGGTGCAGCCATATTCTGTATTGCTGCATGGACCTACACAGCAACACAGACTGGAATACAATGGAACCTGTCCCCTGTTGGCAGAGTCACACCCAAGGAATGGAGAGATCAGTACTCATGCCAGCTGATATGATACTGCTAAATTATTTCTAAATGAAATCATAATTGATGCCAAGTAAAAGCGTTGTATATCCATTAAAATATGGCCTATTGGAGAAATAAAGTATAATTGAAACCTTCAAAAAAAAAAAAAAAAAAAGGAAAAAAGAAACTATTTATAAAGCCTGAAAAGTGGGGAGGGTGGTGAGAGAGCACTGAGCGGCCCCAGCAACGGTGACTTCGACTAATGCAGGGGAGGTGAGAAGTGGATGAATTCAGGCTATAGCTTGAACACAGAGTTCAGTGGACTTGAATTCCACACAGAACAGTATAGTCACAGCCAGTGAATGAAGCCAGCCTTCACTGACCGCTGAACACTCCAGAGCTCACTAACACAAGTCGGGAGGAAAGAAATCAAAGGTTCTTTCAGGGATTCTATCACAAAACCTACTTAAGGTGGGATTAACCTTAAGAAAACTAAGTAAGAGGCCTGGGGAGATGGCTCAGTGGAATAAGTGCTTCCCTGGCAAGTGCAAGGGCCTGAGTTCAATCCCCAGTTCCGCAAAAAAAAAAGAAAAGAAAACTAAATAAGGCCAAGTGTGGTGGCCCAACCTGTAACCCCAGCAACTCAGGAGGCTGAGGCAGGAGGATCACTGGGAATTGGAGGGCAGCCTGGGCTGCAAAGTGAGTGCAAGCCAGCCTAAACTACATAGTGAAACCCTGTCTCAAAAAAAACAAAACGGGGGCTGGGGAGATGGCTCAGTGGAATAAACACTTCCCTGGCAAGCGCCAGGGTGTGAGTTCAATCCCCGGTTCTGCAAAAAAAAAAAAAAAAAAAACAGATTTGATCCCACATATATGCTGGCCCTACCCCAGGGCACGCTGAGACTGCAATTGAGACTGGGCATGGTGGCACCCAGTGCTTGGGAGGCTGACAACAGGAGGATCACTACAAGTCCGATCTGTGCAGTGAGACCCTGTAGACCCTGTACTAAATTCATTAAAAAAAAAAAATTTTTTTAAATAAAAAACCTTAAATAATTGAAAGGTATAAATGAAGAGAGAGGACATGCAGCCTGTGTTCCTGATTATGTTTAACAGAAACAATGGGTGCGATATACCAACACAAGAGTTAGCTGAGTAAGCACTAGCAATAGGAGAAGCACATGGAAGGAGGAGGATTATTCTGGGGGGATATATAACGGAAATGAAGGTAAAGAGAAGAAAAAGAATACACAGAAAAACATGATTTTCTCCACCTATTCTCTCTAAGAGGGGAACAAAAGGTGACAAGAATATTCTGGGCTCTCTTGCCTTCACTAAAGACCCCACCTTCTGACTAAGGTTTCTAGACACCAGGATAAGGGAAGAAGGAACAGAGTAACCCTTAGGAAAGACAAGAGTCAAGAACCAGCTACAGAGAGATGGGGGAAAGAAAGGGCAAGAGAAAGCAAAAGGAAATTTCTACGACAGAATCATTTCTGTCTTATGGGGCATATCATAAGCTTTGCTAAGTACAGGCTTCCTGTATTTCTTTGGAAAAAGGGAAACCAGTGAAATTTTAGGAAACCTTTCAAATTAAAACATAAGAAAATATCAAATCCAAACATATTTTATCACTGTTTTGCCTCAAATTATATATAGACACATTTTGCTGCCAAAATATATATATATATACACATTACATTTCAGTAATTAAGAACACCATCTAAAAATAATTAAATACCTGCAGTTATCACAAGTTGCCAAATCAAAGTGATTCATAAGATAGGAATCCATAAATTCTTTCCCACATTCTTCACATATTGTATAATCAAATTCCATAACTGGTCCTAAAAAGAGAAAAATAAATTTCTTAAATTTCCTTTTTTGTGACTAAAACAATATATTTTCCTCTATTTTATTGGTTTATCCTTGTATGTTTTATGCCAGACATAAATGTCTTTAATAGACAAAATGTTGATTAAATAATCTCATGTCTAAAAATAATGTTTTAAGAGGAAAAAAACAAACTAACATGAGAGTAAAAAGAAATATGAATGCAACAAGTATTTCTGAACTCCACCCAAGTGCGCAGCTCTGGTGTCAGTGCTACACTGCTGCCGTGAGATGATCACACTGGAGTGGTTGAAAATAACAAATTTATCATTTAGCAGTCTGATGGGCTCAGAGAGTCCAAATCAAAGTGTGTGCACGCTTCCTGCTCCTAGAGCCTCCTGAACTTCCTGACCTTCCTCCACCTTCAAAGCCCGCAGCAGTGTTTCTCACACCACATTGCTCACCCCTTCCCTAACCGCGAGGATTATCCAGGATAATCTCCCCTAGGGATTGAACTCAGGCCCTTGTGCTTGCCAGGGAAGCACTTATTCCACTGAGCCACCTCCCCGGCCCAGTCTCCCCTCTTAAGGTCTTCAACTGTATTTGCAAAGTCCCTTTTGCTCTAATTAGTAATATTCACAAATTTCCTGGGATTAGGGTGTGGATATCTTTGAGGGGCCACTGTCCTGCTGACTACAATACTGCAAGCACTTCATGTTAGTCCTGAGGTAGGAGATAAGAAATTGGCTTATGACAGTAGAGACAGCACCAGTGGAAAACAGAAGAACAATAACAAACAAGGCAGCAGCAGAGACCATGCAGAATTCACTTCTAAATGAGAAAACTTTTTCCCTCCATCCCATCCAATACTAATTCCCTCTTTCTGCAGTTTTCAACTACTGGATTATAATCTCCTATTTAGCAATGTACCCTCAACATGAGCACAGAAACTTCTCTAGGCAAGGTAAAAACTATAGATTTTTTAAAATGGATTTGTAATGCCTTTAAGAATTGGTCTGAGGCCAGAGAGATGGCTCAGTAGAATAAGTGCTTGCCTGGCAAGCACAAGGGCCTGAGTTCAATCCCCAGTTCAGGAAAAAAAAAAAAAAAAAAATCCTCCATTTCAAAATTAGAGAAAAAGGAGGGCTACAAGGAAAGCCAACATTTTGGCCCTAGCCTTCTAAGGTCAATTAAGACTCAGGACATATGAGAACTTGTACTGTAACGTCATGTACCTCGGTAGTGTCCCAAATTTTCTGATCAAGAAGATTATGGGGCCAAAGAGGAAAGTGATCGATGACGTAGAGTATGCCTAAGGAGAGTCACATGGAGAGAAGACACTCTCTCAGGCTTTCACAGAGAGCACATTGGCCAAGCATTGGCCGTGACTCATCCACATGGCTGCACTGACAAAGGTTCTACAATCTGAGGTGCAGGATCTCAGGATAAATCCTGAGGGCATTTCACTGACCTTCTCAGACCAAAAAGTTACAACTCTTGTTGCACAGGTCCTGCTTTACCTTGGTCTTAACCATCCAGTAGAAAAGTATGAAGACGAAATATAGGAAGTAAAGCCATGTTGTTATGTTGAGCTGTGGGGGACTCAGGTCAATAATTTCTGACATTGCCAGTTAAACGGAAGACCCATTGCTATTATGGGCTACTGGACTCTTTTAGAATATTTTGCTGAGTTTACACACCTATAATATTCAATAACGGAACTTTAAAAAAATGGGATATAACTATGAATGTCCATTTTGTACCTGTGTATTCAAAGTGGTTGGGATAGATAAATAGTTGCATTCTCTTAATGAATAGAATGATTTGTTCTAATGGTGTTTGTAAGTAGGATCACAAGTCTGCATCTTGTACAGCAATTAACCACTAAGAATATATGCAGTGTATTATTTGTTGAAACTGTACTCTCGATTTGATTTGAAACGGTCTCATTGCTATATGTTTATCAATAAAACTTTGAAAAGAAAAAAAAAAAAAGAATTGGTCTGGCGGGCTGGGGAGATGGCTCAGTAGAATAAGCACTTGCCTGGCAAGCTCAAGAGTCTGAGTTCAATCCCTGGTTCCACCAAACAAACAAAGAAACAAAAAAAGAATTTGAGGTCAGTTGCTCTTGTGCCACAAGACTCTGACCTCAGCTTTATGGGCTGGTGAGATGGCTCAGTGGTCTAAAGCACCTACTTAGAACAAGCTTAGCAAAGCCCAGGGACCACGGTTCAATCCCCCAGCACCACATGCCAGCCATCCCCGGCCCCTGGTGGGCTGAGCTGGCCACACACACACACACAAATTTAAATAAATAAATAAATAAAAATGAGCAGTACTATTTAAAAAAAAAAAGAATTGGTCTGGCATGTCTAAATATTACTAGTGAAAGTTTTTAGAACAGTGGTGGCAAATCTATCACAAGCATGCTGGAGAGGGCAGCTTGTTATGATTGAAAGCTCTGAAAGGTTCACTATCACTGCTTCAGGCTGACTGCTACGTGACAGCCCAATCTTGAGAACTGCCATAATTTCCAGTGGGAACAAAGGAGTTGACACTTGTTCACTCTCCTATAAACGCCTATCACTTTCTACCTTTACCTACCTCCAAAACAAGAACATCTGTCAATATCCCACCACTCCTGTGTTCTTCTGAGGTAGGGTCTCACTAAGTTGTTCAGGCTGGACTTGAACTTGCAATCCTCCTGCCTCAGTCTACTTAGTCACTGGGATCACAGGCATGTACCACTGTGCCCAGTTTTAACGGTTTCTCTTCTTTTTTGGTGGTGTCCAGCCTGGATTGAAACTAGGGCTGAATAAAGAAGCAACATCCCCAATCCCCCCACCCTTTCTGAGATGGGGTCCTCCTACATTGCTAGGCTGGCCTCAACCTTGGGACTTTCCTGTTGCAGATTCCTAGAGTGCTGGGATTATGGACCTGCATCAAACCTCGCTTCAACAATGGTTTTATAGAAGACAAATATTACATTCTCATTTGCATTAAAAAAAAAGACATGAAATTGTTGCCTGCATGGGGTCCAGGGAGTGCTTACTGGTTAGTCACAGTTTGGGAAGACAGAAGAAGTCTGAGGAGGTATGGATGGCAGAGACTGTTGCTCAACAAAGCAAGTAACTTAATGCCACTGAACTGCAGACTTTAACATAGTTAAAATGGTAAAACTGTATGCTATATATTTCACCTTATACTTCAGAAAAAAGCAAAGCCAACAGAAGCAGTGAGGGCCCTCACTGCTACACACTCTCCCCATGTAGTGCTGTCCCTGTCAGGAATTCAACTTGGAATCGGCCAGAAACGAGTTCTTGGCTCCACCTCAGACCTGTTAACTCAAAGCAGTTTCAGGGGCAGAGCCCAGCAAGCTGTTTGAACAAAACCTTCCTGTTAGTTCTGACAAACTAATATTCTTCCCTAAAAGTATTTGATAGGCTTGCTTTATAAGAAGCAAAACTTAACTGACCTAAATAAATTATTTTTATGTTTCTCAGTTACGCTACAGAAACAGGCTAGCTTTCAAAATTAACAATAAAAAAGTTATGAAAGTACTGATCTTTTTTTTTTTTTTTGAGACAGGGTCTCACTGGTTGTAGCTCGGTCTGGCCTTGAACTCCTGGGGCCTACCGGCATCAGCCTCTTGAGCACTAGGATACAGGCATGTGCCCCCACGCCCATTTTTCCTCCCCTTTTTTCTTCTACCCTATCACTCAGCAGCAAAGTGCCCCCGTGCAAAGGCACCTGGCCACGGAGGAGAGAGGAGCCAAAAAGGTCCTGGCCCAGGCTACATCATCCCGAAAAAGTGAAACTTTTCTAACTGCCACTCAAAGGGAACATCTTATCTAATATGCACTAATTCACTCCCAGTGTTCTATGTACAAGCGGAAGCACAATATTAACATGTGGTAACAACAGTGACACAACTATACACATCATAGTCAAGGCACGATAGTAGGTTCTCGATAAATATTTGCTTAGTGATCGATTAAATGCAAACAGGGTTTATAGCTCAGGATAGATTTAGTAATTTATGAAAATACAGTCACCTTGAGCCTTCAATATCCACAAAAATCAGGGATTTAAAGGCCTTCACTGAACACATTCCCACCTAATGCAGGGCTGCTTCTCCACAAGATCGCATTTGGGTGGTACAGGTAGTCTTTCAGTCTCTGAATCTCCGATGCCTCACTACTAGGCAGCAGCAATCCACAGGACTGGGACGTTTCTTTACAACAGAATCACTGTGAACTTACATGATGTATAGAGCAACACTCTGTAAGCGCTGAGGGCTAAATACATGCAGGGTACACCTTTACCATAATGAGCTGGCACTGCCCTCTACATAATTATCACCACCATTTTAATTCTTCCCTCCAAAGAAAATCACAGGAAGTGTAATATTTCTATCCTAGAGAAGTACTTCTAGCATTTGCAAGTAGCTGGAAGTAGTTTCCAAGTTAACTGGTCTTTCTATGTCAATTTCAACATCCCATTCTAATCACCTTACTTAGGATACTACATACTTGCCTATATCACTCTTAAACCATGACACCTAAAATAAGCATTAGGGGGCCAGGGAGATAACTCAGTAGAATAAGTGCTTGCCTGGCAAGCGCAAGGGCCTGAGCGCAATCTCTAATTCCACCAATATATAAATAAATAAATACGCATAGGGTATACATATATAAGCTACTATACAAATATACAGCATGTATTTAAATTTTTTAAATTTGTTACAGTAAAAGACACAGCGCCATTAATCTCTACCTCAAAATACTGGGCCACTTCAAACACACTTATTCCATCATTCTTGCCACTTGCTGAAGCAGTTCTAGAAGTTCTCTGTCATGAGTGTCTTTATATAGTGTGTCAAAAAAAAAAAAAAAAGTATAAGCTGGGCATGGTGGCACCTGCCTTTAATTCCAACACTCAGGGGGCTGTGGCAGGAGGGTCCTTGCAAGTTCAAGACTACAAAGTGAGCTCATTCGAGAGCGGCCCAGGTTGCAAAGTGAGCTCAAAGCCAGCCTGCACTGCATTGTAAGACTCTGTCTCAAAAAGACAAAAAAATAGAGAGACAGTGAATGCTGTTGCCTCAGGCCATCCAATGGAAATGCAGGCTTGCAAAAACACACTATGTCCTCAGGACCTTATTCACAGGATCTGGCCCTGTAAAACTTCTGGCTCTTCCCCAAAGTCAAAACGCCAGCAGATATTCTGAGTGCATGCAGGACATCAAAACACCTACAACAGTGTAACTACAGGCAGTTACTACAGAGGACTTCCACAACTCCTTCAGAAAATAGCAATAATGATGGACGTGTGTTTGAAAGAGGGGAGTATTTTGAGGGAGAGTAATGGCAATGTGTCTTTTACCATGATGTTTTAATTTAAATATTCAATGTACATTTTTATCATAACCTATATATAACCGACTTACTGAAGTATTAACTGTACATAATAATACCTTTCTTTTAATCCCATATTTTATTATCTTTATTTTATTTATACATTTTTTTCTCCATATATAAATCAAAGACTGTCTTAAATTTTATCTCACAGGATTCCTCATTTCACATAATCAAGCTAATTTTTGTTTCTTTTTGTTTGAGAGTTGGGGTCTTACCACATTATCCAGGCTAGTCTTGGCCTCCTTCCTCAGTCTCTAGAGTAGCTGGAACCACAAGTATGGCCAAGTTTATCAAGATAATTCTGAGTACTTATTCTATCCCTCTGTATATTGGCTGTCCCTACCTATTATAAAACAACAGACAACATCAACATCAAAAGTTAAGTAATCATTTCTATATATGAGTGTTTCCATTGATTTTTTTCCTTTAATTTACTAACAAGACCTCCAAACATTATCACTCTCATAAAGCTAATTTGCTCACTGATGACAGTAACTATTGTGTTATTTTAACATCAACTTTTAAAGAACTGTGTATATTATATAAAATAACCAATCGAGACACTCATTTTCTGAAAGACTGACAGTTTACCTGGTTGATGAACAATATTTCCAATTTTATGTTCTTCTTCTTCTTCCTCTTCCAAAATAAAGCCCCCTCCTGTGTCAATTATTTTTGGAGCTGCTTTTACATTTGTCATGCCTAGAAAAAGCAAAGAAAAGTGGTCATCAATTGAACTAGGTAAATCCACAGGTTCTGTTGTGCATAAACACATACTTTCTTCATATTTACCATCTATCAAATAAGGTAACTATTATGCTTTATATCGAGATGCCCCTCCCAAAGCCTCATGCCCTCACAGGTGGGGCTTTGGGAGGTGACTGATGAGGGGAGTGTGATGCTCATTAGTGGATTAATCCCCAATAGCTAAATGTGATGGAAGGTTAAGCCTAGTTGGAGGAGGTGAGTCACTTGGGTGTGACCCACAAAGGGACATCTCCTTCCGTCCTCCCTTGAGGTCTCTCTGTGTCCTGCTACCATTCCATGAAGCTATTTTTCCTCCACCATGCCCCCTAGTCCCCATCCTGCCTAAGCATGGACTAAAACCTCTACAAACTGTGAGACAAACTATGCCTTTCCTCCTCCGACTTGTGAGTGTTTGGTTTTGTTTCTCAGTGATGGAAACATAACTAGGTAACAACAACAGCAATCTCACCACTTCTATCCAACACTGCATTGAAGGCCCCTACTAGCACAGCGTCACCAGAAAACAAAAAAAAAGCACACAAAGACTAGAAAGAAAGAAAGAAAATGGTACTCATGTGCAGATCATATGACTAAATATGTAAAATATAAGGAATCTACAGTTAGAAGAGCTAACAATCCCAGAAGAGATGTACAAAATCTCTATAGTGAAAATATCAGAATACTAAAAGAAATCAAAGATAACCTAAGTAAACAGATAAATATACCACATATGGATTTTAAGCTTTGATGTATTATGAAAATATCAATTCTTCCCCAAATCTACCTACAGAGTCAGGGAGATCTCACCCAAATCTCCTGAAGTAGGGCATGTATGTGGGTGAGAGGATGCTCATAATCTGATTCTAACATTTATATGTGAATAGAACTTAGAGCAGCTGAGATAATCTTGAAAAAGAAAACTGGAGTATTTATATAACCTGACTAACTTTACACCTTAAGATGCTGAGGCATTAGCACGAAGATAAACCAATAGTGCGTAACAGAAGGTCCTAAAATACACCTATGCATATTTGCCACTTAATTTATGAAAGGCTGCAAAGGAATTCAGTAGGAAAAAGATCATCTTTTCAGTAAGTGGTGCCAGGATTTATCATGAAGGCGCCACTAACATACAATCAGAAAAAGATTACCTTTTCAATAAATGAAGTTTGAATCAACTTCATATAAGATACACACATTAAGAAAAAAACCTTTAAAATGAATCACAGTCTTGAGTGGGAAAGGTGAAACAATAAAGTCCCTGGCCCAGTGGGGGTGAACCTATGGCACATGTGCCACAGCAGGCTGTTTATATCAATGAAAGCTCTAAAAGGTTCACCATAGGGGCTGTGGAGATAGCTCAGCAGCATAGACACCTGCCTGGCAAGTGCAAGATCCCGAGTTCAATGCCAGGTACCACGTGCCATGTGGCCCTGGGTCCCCGGGCATGGCGGTGCATGCCTGTAATGCCAGCATCAGGGAGGCCAAGCCAGGAGGATCACTATGAGTCTAGACTGCATGGAGAGACCCTGTACCAAACAAATAAACAAAAAGGACTGGAGAGACAGCTCAGTGACATAAGCACCTGACTGACATGCACAAGGTCCTGAGTTTGATTCCCACTACAATAAAATAAAATATTCACCATCACCACTCTAGACAAAAACACGAGAGTGTAACTTCATGAATCTGAGGTAGCCCAAAAGCTCAGAGAAAATAGGCTAAACCGGACTTGACAAAATTAAGGACTTGCACTCATCAGGGCACCATTATGACAATGACAGGAAGAAAACTGAGATTTTTGGAAGTATCTGACCGAGGACGTTTATCTTGAAAATATTACGAGGCTCAACACAAGTAACCCAACTGAGGAAAAAGAACAAAACAGGCACCTCAGATACAAGGATGTACGAATAGAATAAGCAAATGAAAAGATGCTTACGATCATCAATCCCTGGAAAAGCCCAAATTAAAGCCACGAGGAAATATCACTACTTTCCCACTAGAATGTTTAAAAATAAATACATGAGATGAAATGAAATAGACCAATAATAAATCGTGAATGTGAAGCAACCAAAACCATTCCAGCTGCTGGAGAGATTGTGAACTGCTAAGCTTACTGCTGGGCAGTATCTGCAAAAGGTGACCATGCACTGCCCTATGCCAGCAATTACGTCTTTAAACATATACTCATAAACACAGGTATATACAAGAAATTATGGGCTGGAGAGATGGCTCAGTGGTCTAAAGCACCTACTTAGAACAAGCTTAGCAAAAGCATCAGGGACCGCGGTTCAATCCCCCAGCACCACATGCCAG